TTAAATGTGATTATTTTTAAAAAATTTTTACTGTAATAAAACTCAAATTCTAAATTAAAATCGGTAAAATGAACAAGACAGATAAACGAAAAAAAAAAATATTACTTGTGATTCTTGAAACTTTTTGAGTCAACTAAATTATTGATTAGAGAAGACTGAAAAGTTAAACCGATAGTGGCTATGACCATCTCACGTACTACCAAAAGAGAAGAGAGACCAAATTAGGTTTGACCACTTGAGTGCCAAATACTGTATTAGAAATTCTTTTTTTTTTTCTTCCAATTTTTGATCAAACGCGTCTTGAATGCTAATATGGTGATCAAGATTCAAGAATATTAGTAAGAAAGTTTCAGCATCACTTTGAATTATTTCATCGTGGGATGATGGCTTTTAGACTAGTCTTACTAGGAAAAAATTACTCTAGTGGCAATCATACATTTGATTTCTCTGCAAGGGTAGAATTCAAATTTTCTTTCACCCACCTATAAATTAAAAAAAAAAAGTAACTTTTTTGCAAACCTTATATAAATTATATATTAGGAAAAAATTACTGAATTAAGAGTGACCAAATTAGGTTCTAGACTTCTAGTGTCAAGTACTTTTCTTTCGCAAATGATCATTGTTTTATTTTAAAAGCCAAAGCGCTCAGGAAAGGCTTTTACCGACGTTAGAGTCGGGATTAATTATATAAATAATAATTATTGAAGCTTAAATTATGTGGATTTATTTGATACCTTTATTAACTCAATTATTGACATAGTGAATTAATCGAATTTAGATATTTTAGACGTTTCTCACAACTGTGTAAAATATCTTTTTTTTTTTTTTTTTTTTTTTTAAATATGACACAGTATAGTTCGCTATATGGTGCATTGACGAACAAACCGTGTGAAAGACAATGTGGCGTGCGTCCGTGCAACACGTACATTTTGTCACACATTTATTTTATGTGATAAAATAATTATTCAATCTATTTGAATAATTATTTTAATTGTTAAGATGAATATGATATTTGGTGTGATTCTTGCCCCCATAAACAAGCCTAACGATCGATAACGGAATAGTCTAATGGAATATCCATACCTGCTATTTTAAGTATTAAAATAAATAAAAATAGAAGCAGTGTGAGAAAGTATTTACTTTAATTGTTAAAACAAATGTTTATCATGTTTCTCTGAATCTTTTTAAAGCAAAACAACGTTTCACGTTTATTTAATGCAAACATTGGTTGTTTCGATTTGTCCCTTTCTGTTGCCGCTAAGTCCTTTATAAGCACCAATTTTACGTAGCAATATCAAACTCTAATATTCTAAATTAAGGACAACATATCTAATTCATACACATATATTTGGCAAAAAAGTTTTGGACACTGAATTGTCACTTTATGGAACATAATCGCCTGACATGTTTTCAAATCTTTTCTTTGTCCCCCAATAATTTTATTTTCAACATTTCTATGAAGTCAAATTTTACCTAAAAATAATTACGCATATGACGGAATCACATAAAAATAAATGAACTTCTTACGGACGAGAATTAATTATTCAAAATAACACAGAATAAGATTTAGTTTATCATTATCAACTTGCTACATGAAAACTTTAACATATCGAATTTATCACATAAAAACTTGTATCTTTCAATGCTTCTTGATGAACTCTATGATTGCAGAGAATAGTGCATCAGTTTGTGCGGCAGTGTTAGTGTCCATATCTACGGCAATCTTGTTCAGATAAAAGCTGTGAGTCATTCCATGGCTAATCAGAAGCTCCACGTCTTTTTCGGCCTTCCTCATGGCCTCATAATACTCCATCTCCGTGTCTTTGATCAAATCCTTCTCCGCAATGCACAGTAGCATTGGCGGCAGCCTCAGCTCCTCCAGTGGCGGTGCCGCCGCCCCCATCGGGCAAGTAAACGGGTGGTCTTTCGTGCACCCAACTGGTAAGGAGAGGCTCAGGAACTTGTCCACCATGTCTAGGGTTAGGAACGGCGACTGCGGCTGTTCCTTCTCGGACTTGCTCCTCTCCGAACGGACGAACCCCGGGTGGATAGGAATCGCCCCCGCGACTCGAACCGGGCTGATGTCCTCCTTCCCGGCACGGGCCGCCACCTCGTGGACTAAATTCCCGCCGGAGCTGTCCCCGATGAGGAAAACACGGTTGAAGTCCACGTCCCCGAGGTCGCTGGACTCTCCGGATTTCGCCAGGGAGCGCAGCCAGAGAAGGGCGGAGTATCCGTCGTCCGCTGCCGCGGGAAGGCGGTGCTCCGGTGCTCTGCGCAGGTAGGCCGAAACGATGACGGCCCGGGCAGCGCGGGCGAGGCGGGCGTAAATGTAGTAGTACATGAACCAATCTGCTTCACTGATGCAGAAGCCGCCGCCATGGAAGTGAAGAATGATCGGAAAGTTTGTTTTCTCCTCGCCGGGGTTCTTCTCAGGGAGATAGATTCGGACCCGGAGGCCGGATTTTCGGTCCGCGACGACGTCTCGGACCGCGACGCCCTCGATGAAATCGTCGTGTGGTGGTACCGGCTCGGCCATGAACTTGACCTCCGGTGGGCCGGTCCATGTCCGGTCGACGGAGCCGTCGTCGTAGACTCTGAGCCAGCCAGAGACCTCATCAACGAGCTTCTTCACAAGGACCATTGTAATTTTTCTGTGTTATAATAGTATGGCCTTGAGAGATTTGTGGGTTGTATATGCAAACTTTGAGCTGCTTTTATAGAGCAGTTGTTGGAATATTTTTATAATAATTTATTTTAATTTGTTGTTAAAGCATCTTACAGATAATTTTATTGATGTAAATTTAGTTATGTATATCGGTCCATAATAAGAGGGATTCTCGGTTTGTTGACTAATTTGAAACTTGTGAACTCTCTTATAAATGTTTTGATCAACTTATTAGATTAAATAACCTTTCAATACCATTAAAATATGCACTATAAGCCAAATAAAGTGTGAGCCCAAAATAAGAAATGTTGTTACTATTTGCTTAGAATAGTATAGTAGAGGGAGAGAAGGATGAGAGTTCATTAAACCGTCGGCTCCGGCGATTTCCGGCGATATTCCAACGGCCCACCAACACTACCACAAAGTAACCGACTCATACATGCTTCAATTCTCAATGTTTAAATGCCCGTTTGGTTCATGGATTAGAACCACGAGATTAGAACTATTTTTTATTTACGTGTGTTTTTTGTGAGAGAAAATACTGTATTCCAACGGCCCACCAACACTACCACAAAGTAACCGACTCATACATGCTTCAATTCTCAATGATTTAAATGCCCGTTTGGTTCATGGATTAGAACCACGAGATTAGAACTATTTTTAATTTACGTGTGTTTTTTGTGAGAGAAAATACTGTAGCGAACTATAAACTATGATTCGAATCAGAGAACGAATCTTCCAACTAAACGGGCTCTAAATAACCTTTCAATACCATTAAAATATGCACTATAAGAAATGTTTAGTTTCAACAGGAGTTTTATGACTTTGTGGGATATTTTATGTGAGTGAAATTGTGGTGAAGTTTCGAAATGCATATTTAGCTTTTTGAAAGATCGAACGGAAAATGATTAATTATTTGTCATTAAGTTACCCTCGCCAAAAGGAAATTGCTAGTGCTAAAGTTTGTCTTTGTAATGCCACATATTATCGTTTCTATTATTTTTCTTAAATTTAAAAATTGCGTGGTTCCTCTTTTCTTATAATTCATTATTGTTATTATTATTATTATTACTACTACTATTAGTATTATTATTGTAGTGGTTGGATTCTATAATTAAATTTATTTAGAGGGTTAATGACTGCTCCTAGGAGTCGATCGCGTTGGTGAGTCGATTCGGGTCGATTTGAGTCAATCGAGCACTAGAACAAGAACGTAAAATGTGAAAAAATAAATGAACACAAGAATACTTAAATGACAACAAATATGAGATAAGACGATGCCTATTTAACGACGGTTTTTATGAAACGGTCGTCTAATGTGTTAAAAAACGCGGCATGGAGACTTCTGTATTTTGGAAATCTGCATCTAAGGTCACGTCTCAACTTCTTCTCTTCTTTTTTAAATCATCTAATCTAACATATATAAAAGAGGCAACGCCTCGTTGCTATTCACTTCCCAAGAACTACCATAAGGCAGCTTCTTCTTCTTTCTTTTTTTCCCTTTTTAGCCACTTTTTCCCTCTTTTTAGCCTTTTTCCCCTTTCTTTTTAGCCTTTTTTCTCATCCTTTTTGTTTTCCTGTCTTTTGATTTCTTTTTATATTTTCTAAAATGTTTTTTTTTTATTTTGTCAATATTTCATTAAAGTCTATTTCTTTATGATGTACTTTCTAAAAATATTTCTTTTCTAACTTTACTCTTATTAAATAATTTCTTTAATATGTGTTCTTATATAGTTTTTCACTCTTTTTTTTTTATTTTTGCCAATGGCTACGATAATTTTCTTTAAATGTGTCTCTACTTAATTATTTTCTGTGTAATTCTTTTTATATCAAAAGTTATCCTCATTCGTATTTTTTTATGATTAGCCCAAGAAAACTTTTTTTCCTAAGATATTTCCTTTTTAAATAAATTTTTCATGCAATCCTTTAAACTATTATTACCTAATCTTATCTTATCTTAACATATGCAAAATACATGTAGACTATATTCATCCATGCTACATTTATGGTCACGCGTCAACTTTATCTCTTCTTTTTTTAATCATCTAATCGAATCTAATATAATCTAACATACATGAAAAGAGACAATATCTCGTTACTATTCACTTCTTAAGGACTATCACATAGCAACTTCTTCTTTCTTTTTGTTTTTTTCTTTTCTTTTCAACCTCTGTTTTTTCCTCTTCCTTTTTAGACTTTTTTTTTCCTTTTGTTTTGCTTTTCCTACTTTTTGGTTTGTTTATATATTTTTTTAAATGTGTTATTTTTTTTTTCTATTTTGTCAATGTTTCTTTACAGTCTAATTTTTTTACAGTGTGCTTTTCACAAATATTTTCTTTTGAAGTTTTACTCTTATAAAAATAATTTATTTCATATGTGTTTCTTGATAATCTTTTTTATTCTTTTTTTTATTTTTTCAATGATAAATAATTTTCTTCAAATGTGGTGTCCTGCTTTATGTGTAATTTCTCTTATATTAAAAGTTATCCTTATGTGTACTTTTTTTATGATTAGCCCGATAAAACATTTTTGCTCCAAATATTTCCCTTTCAAACAATTTTTTCATGCTATTTTTTAAACTATTAATCATCTTATCTTATTTTATCTTTTAACATATGTAAAAACCTATAGACCGTTTTCATCCATATTGCATTTGTCTACGGATATTCAGCGGTCGGCTTCTCTCGGTCGGCCACAGAATCGAAAGTTCAGTTTTGCGGATAACTGGAATCGAAACCGTCCAACAAAGGGTATAAAAGCGAGTATCAACCCGACTGCTATACTCGGTCAGTTTAGTTCAATTTTGACGGTTAACTGACAATTTTCCCTTGTGACAAAAGAGAGCTTTAAAATTCCCTAATTTTGAGACAGATTTGAGAAAATGAGGAAAAAGAAAAGCCTAACTTAAATCATTTAGGGCTTGTTCATTTGCATTTTTTGAGTTAAGGTGATTTGAATTCAGACATTGATTTGAGTTAAGGTGTATTTGAGTATGGTTTAAGTTTGGACTCTAATTTGAGTTTATGTTTGGATAGACACATTTTGAGTTATGGTTTGAATTAAGAATTTATTTGAATTTGTGTTTGGGTGGATCAAAACATAAATTTGTATTTAGATAGTATTTTAATAAAAACTCAATGGTGATAGAAAATTTGAATAGGATATATGGATGAGGTTTTATTCGTTTCTTCGTTGTGAACGCATAAAAAAATAAAATCATCTCAATCGGAATTAAAACAAAAAAGTTATGACGTTTTTAAGAATAAAAAAAATACTGGTCATTAATTTGAGTTTGAGTTTAGGAACTTGAGTTGAAGGGAGAACTTGAACTCAAATTTTAGCTTCAAACTCAAGTTAAAACTCAAATTTTACAAAAGAATATGAACTTAAATAAAGTTGTAACTTGAGTTCAAACTTTTTTTGAGTTAAACTAAAACGAACAATCCCTTAGAATTCTATGCTCCTAAGTCCTAAATCCTAAGCATCTTAAAACACAATTTCATGTTCAGTTCTCGTCATATCTCAAATGGATTTTCAGATTTGTGGGGGGAAAAAAAAGAAAAAAACTTCAAATACATGGCTGTGAGATGAGCAGATCAGTGGAGATAAGAGGAGGCTGGCGGGGCAGAGAAGATGACAAGGAGGAGCGAGAAAATTTGAATAGGATATATGGATGGGGTTTTATTCGTTTCTTCGTTGTGAACGCATAAAAAAATAAAATCATTTCAATCGGAATTAAAACAAAAAAGTTATGACGTTTTTAAGAATAGAAAAAATACTGGTCATTAATTTGAGTTTGAGTTTAGGAACTTAAGTTGAAGGGAGAACCTGAACTCAAATTTTAGCTTCAAACTCAAGTTAAAACTCAAATTTTACAAAAGAATATGAACTTAAATAAAATTGTAATTTGAGTTCAAACTTTTTTTGAGTTAAACTCAAACGAACAACCCCTTAGAATTCTATGCTCCTGAGTCCTAAATCCTAAGCATCTTAAAACACAATTTCATGTTCAGTTCACGTCATACCATAAATGGATTTTCAGATTTGTGGTGGGAAAAAAAAGAAAAAAACTTCAAATACATGGCTGTGAGATGAGCAAATCGGTGGAGATAAGAGGAGGCTGGCGGGGCAGAGAAGATGACAAGGAGGAGCGACGGGGAGGACGAGTTGGCCGACGAGGGGCGGAGCAGCGAAGGATGATAAGCATATGGGACGGAGAAGATGACGAGAGCAACGGGGAGGACGAGCGGGCCGTCAAGGTCACGAGTGGCGGCGCCACGGAGGACGATGAGCAGCAGATGGGATGGAGGGGCTTTTTCCTTTCGAATGGGGGAAGAGGGCAAGAGGCCAAAAGGCCAAGAGGAAAACCCTAGCAGATAAAAGTATGTTATTTGTATGTATATGTATGTTTTACAATATTTTCTAAAATATATTTTTAAGCCTACTGGATGTTCGATTCGGTTGACTGACCGAATTTAGAAACCTGAAACCAAACACCAAATCAACGGTTTACCGACCGCCACCATTTGGTCATGATGTGACACCTGTTTTTTCGATCAATTTTGGTCAGTTGTTGTCGGTGTTGCTCGGCTGACGGTTTTTTTGTACAGCTTTATTTGTGTCTACCATGGTGTTTCTCACCAGAGTCAACAAACATCACACTTGTATACGGCAAACTTAAAACGAAAAAAAAAAAATGCTGGAGAAAATAAAACACAGATTTGAGGCGGTAATAAATTTTCACCGTTAATGCTTTCCTTTTGTTTATGTATAACCATTTTGTCTCGCATAAATGAAATTCAGTATGTGCAACCAAATCTGCTATACTCCATATAGAGTAGAGGATGAAGTCGCATTCCTTTGTTCTTCAACCAAATAATCCAATAGTTCATATCATCTAATTCTTTTTTTACTTTAAATGCAATGGCCAAGCTTTTACACTAGGCTCTTGTATTTTCTTACACCTCATACTATAATCTTGTTTTTTTTTTTTTTTTTTGGGTAAATATACGTTAAGCTTTTTGTTTATTAAAGAGACTTGCTTTAATATATGCATGGAAACCAATTCTTAATATGATCTCAAATATTGTTTACCAAAAAATTATCTTCAATATTGCCCATCTATGTTTGGCATATTTTGTCAGCATTTACTTGGCATATTTATAAGTTATTAGTTTTTTAACGTGCTCTGTACGTATTATTATGTTGAAGATACCTGAAAAGTCTTTATTTACTGAATAACGATAAATTCATTTATACAACTATTTGAGAATTTTTTTAAATTTATTTTAAAAGAGAAATATGTGTAAAAATAATCTTTGATATTGACAATTAAGCACGACACATTTAAAAAAATTATTTTAACAATTTAAAAATAAAAAATAGAGATAAAAAAATAAAGAGGTAAAAAGATGAGCTGTCACGTAACAGCCTCATAAAAGAGAGTTTTAACTCTTTCATGTTTGTTATTATATTATTATATTATATTACTTTAAATAAAAAATACTCTTTTTATTTTGACCATATCTAACAATTAGAAACATACCCTAATGATAAAAAGGTCCTATCAAAGAAAGTCATAAAAAAAGAAAGCACAAAAAGAATGCCAAATAAAGATTAAAAAAATAAAAAATAAAAAGAAGAATATTAAAAGACTTTTTATTTTGACCTATCAAACAATTCAAAATTAACATTATTCATTTCATGACTCAAGTCATATTATTACAGTGTTTTTTCTCATAAAAATTTAAATTTAATTTTTTTATTATATTATTTTTCTCTCACATACACAACTCAAATCATAACTTGAGTTGTGCAAATAAACGTACTAAAAAATAAGACTAAATAAAGATTAAAAAATACAAAAATTATAAAGAGTAATAAAAGAGGCCAAGACTCTTCTCTCTTACCGCCGCGTGGCAACATGAAGAAAGAGAACTTTTGCCTCTTTTTCTTATGTATGGATATAATACAAAACGTAGAGTATTAATTTTTCAGTAAGGTGAATGTATATAGCAATATATAGACTTAATCTTCTTTGAAGTACTCATAGATAGTTGATCATTTCTTAATTCTTTTTGAAAGGTTGGCTAAAAACGATGCAGCAGTAAAAAGTTCATATAGATCTTCATATATATTCATTAAAAAAACTTTGGAAAAGATAAATTGCCTTTGACATCAAATAACCAAAATGAGAAAATTGTACACATATAGCCTATTCCTACTTTCATCTACTCATTACAAAATATGCATGGCTGAAAAAAAAAAACTACTTGTATACCATTTTCCCCTTTTACGTGTTGATAAAAAATTAATGACAAATAATTTTTTGTGTATCGATTTTATTATAATTTTTAAGGAAAAAAATGTAACCACCACAAACACGTAGGCACCAGCCCATACTAGTAGAATTAAGAAATAAGAATCACTTTAAAAATTTAAAATACCAAAATTACGATTATATGAAAGCTCAAAGAAAAGGGGCAACAAAAAAAAAATCATTTTAGCAGCTAATTGATACATTAAGCTCTAGGAGATGAAACCAATCTTATGATCATTGCATTCTCAAGGTAATAAACATCACCTTTCTTGACATGTACATCTCTTTGGTCATTAACGTCATTAAGATTCAGGCAGCCCACTCTTCATCACTTTCATCATTATCCTACACACACCCCCCAAAAAAAAAGAGAAGTATATATGCATAAATAATACAGTGCAATCATGAATTGATTTTTTACAGAAAAAGTGGTAGACTACCATGCCAAGGTATATTAAGACAGAATATTTGTGTCAAAAAATAAAAATATAAATATAAATGAAAAATTGGTGTTTTATTTTTAGATGAACAATCAGTTTATCCAAAACAATCACCAAAGAATAATACATGCATAAACTTTCAGTTTCTTTTGTTTCAGCCAAAACAAAAGACACTGAAAAATAAAAATTCGAATAGGTAAGTTTTGGCAATGGCAATCAATGCTTATCTACGTAGTTCTATTACTATAACTATTTTCAAAATAATGTCAGAAATATATCCTACTCAATGGGAGATTACCTGTGAAGCGCTTGAGAATTCTTCGATATCGTCCTCCTCACTCTGCAGTTTTTAGTTGCTACATTAGTATATTGAATGACTAGTAACAACATGGTCATCAGCAGACTTGTTGCCTATTTAACCGCGGGTTGGCAACAACGGTTCTGCCGACCCAACTTAGGCATGCATATTATGTCAGTAAAGACTCGGTGTGAAGCCTTGGCGCTTACGTTAGAAGAGCAAAAGGCCCAGGGCTACAGTGAGCTGAGGGTGGACAGTTAATATCTTTGCATGGGAAGCAGCATTGATGATTTGACTTACAGAACAAGACTCAACTCAAGCAAGTTTGCTTCGACTTCTAATGAAAACGCATCATCTAAAGTTAGACCTCTATTGGCTTATGCATGACGGGTTTTGGTGTTTATAAACGTAACTAACAATGCATTTCACACATTTCAAGTCATTTATCCAGAGCAAAAACCCGTTAAAACTCTTTTGTCATGCCAATTACCCCACTATCAAGCATAAGACATGTCAATTTTAACCTCCAATACTCCCTCAGATGATATTCACGTGTTGATCTACGTCAAGTTCACTGTTAGATAATGTTGGAGGGGCAAAAAGTGATGCATTTCAGGGACTACAAAAGACAATAATCAACAATACTAACAAAAATGGCTTAGGGACCAAAATAAAATGAAACAGTATAAAGTTTGACTCCTGTGCATTTAACCCAATTTGTTTTTTAATACGCGATAGTATTATATCAAAATTGAAACCAGTACAAAAGAATTCAGAGCCAAGATGTCTAAGGGGATTGAACTTCAAGCAATCGGGATCGAAGCGAAAATAAAAATTTAGACTTTTAACAGCATATTCTTTCCAATCAAATGCAACTAAAGAAAAGAGCGAGACATTAAAAAACTTTATCAGCACGTCCAAAACGAAGCTAAATATGAAGCGAGTGAGTCGGAATTTATTTATTTTTTATTTTTTATTTTTTACAAGAAACTCAAAAACTTTATTTATAACAAAAAAGAGAGATACAAAGCAAAGTAAAATTTATATTGAAATTTAAACCAACACATAATAGGAAAACAAATATCAGTTGAAAAATCACAGTACCTCGTACAACTTTTTCTTTGCCACGCCTTTCCCCCCTACAAGTCAAAGATGGCAACTTTAAACAAAGTATTCAAGGTCACATTTACTTACATACTTAAAGAGATGAAATGAACTCATACAGTACAGTCTTTCATAACGAACATGCAGATTTGTTTTGATCAGCTACTTGGGGAGAAAAAAAGATTAGAGGATTCTATATGTAATATTTAAACAAGCATGGATGACAGGCTCAAAATAAAACCCTAGTAAATTTCATTGCCTCCCTATGCATGACGCACTCATTGTTGTTAGTTTTGGAAAGTCCCATGTGGGGTTAGACTATAGTTTCAAATTTACAAGCTATATCACTGGTTTTGGATAATCATAAACCATAACCTATGACAAATCTAAAATTCCATTTGTTGACAAATACTTCATTATTGGCCTCATGAACTTGTTGTCAACATTAATAGCTTTATATTCTTATATTTAGCTATTAAAAGTGAATTATGATACTTCTAACATAATATTCAAATTGTGGTTTGAATATTAAAGAGGCAATGGCACATTCATGCGAAGGCTGTTTGCTTTGCTTCTGTCGTAAGAGAATAATGCAAGTTAAAACAGATTATAAAATAAAGTCAAGTGCAGACTGTCAGAGTGTCAATGTTGTATCTCTTGTTTGGATATCTCAAAGTCATATCCTGTATCATTGTCGCTATTAGTTTCCAGGGTACTAAAGTGGACAGCCCAACGACTTCTTACAGGAGAGTGGGAGCATCCATATTCGAGAAGAATAGAACCACTACCAGAAAGCAGACGAAAGCTTGTACAGAATTTTTTTTTTAAATAATTTTTTATAAGTAACAGAACCTTTATAATGGTAAGAAACAGAACTTTATTTTGAGGGGGCGAGAAAGGGAGGAAAAAAAGAGAGGAAAAATAAGCCTGGTAAGTGAAAAGAAAAGCAACACAGCAAGAAACTATCCGATGTAAAACAAAAAAAAAACAAAAACAAAAAGACAAACACACAGACACACACATCTCTAAATTCTGTAGAAAGAGAAGCACATAAAGACACCCAAAACCGAATCCTATCCGAAAGAAAAGTTTTGTCCTAAACCTCAAAAACTCAATAATTTGAAATATTATTCTCATGCAAAAATTGGGTTTAACAGTTTATTAGATTTCGTAGATAACTTTGCTGCAGAAATCACTTGTTCTTTCTATCGTTAGGTTGTAGTGCTAAGTACTTCACCCTGCGCTTCCTAGTTTAGGCACTGAACTTTGTTAATTCTTTCTTGCATTTATTTGTGGACCATGACTACTTCAACATTCACTTTCTAGGTTAGGTGTCCATTTTGTCTCTCCTTTCTTTCCTCTATTTGAGAACCATAATTTTTTAAGTTCTTTATATGTGATACCTATGGTATCTCCCAAATTAACTTTTTCTTCTCATAATCCATTTAATATGTAGATGAATAGTTTTTTTTTTTTTTTTTTTTTTTTTTTTTTTTTTTTTTTTTTTTTTTTGCTACAACTAATACAAAAAGAATTGCATGTTTCAGCTTGAGAGGCAGAGGGATAAAGAAAGCAGACCTGTTTTTTTGTCATTGACCAATTTTGCCTTTTTCTTCATCTCTCCATCCTACAAAAATTAGAAACTACTTCAGTTTGCAAACTACAAGCATGTGAAGCATAAAACTGCCATGGGTAAAAGCATTGATGTAATGAGAAGCACGGAACCAGGAGTAATTGACATTGGGGAAGGGGGAGGGAAATTGAAAATCTAAACCTGACTGATCTTCCTTTTTGAATCAATACGTTGTGCCTTCTCATCAGAAACTGAAAACATCAGCATATCTTACTTTCTGAATATTGTCATCTCAATATTCTCGCGCTAACAAAATAAAAAGGAAAATTAACAACCTTTTGGTGATGGAACTTTCCTTTGATTTCTTGGTGTCCTCTGAAAATTGGAAATTCTTTCTCAGAAAAATATGAAAATAAGTAGTCTACATTTCACTACACATATTGGGATGCCTTTTCCCACTCTAGATATGCAGTATAACACAGAGCAACTTAAGCAATTTGTTGCACAAAAAGTCTATGAGGATTCATTCAAGTGATCGAGCGATGTCATTTCTTGAGACTGTACATGACATCAAGTATAATTCAAGTTACACTAGCACTAGTTGAAACCAAACGATACATGACATAACATTTCCTTTCGTTTTTTTTTTTTTTTTTTGAATAAGAAACATTACTTTATTAAAAGCCAAAAAGGCTAATAGTTTTATAACCAGAGGACAAGGAATCCTCTGGAAGATTCAACACCATCAAACAGTCAAAAGGCAGCATTGAAAATTTGAGATTTTCACCTCAAACAATACGGAGTCCAGAACAACACAAATGCACTGAAAAACCTTTTAAGCTTCAGGTAATACTACAATTGACTATTGAGAAACCCAAAAGTTACAGAAGAATTTTAAGACTTGGACCCAACAGAAACCCATAAATTCACAAAAGGGTAGTGACAGCTGTAATATATGTAAAGAATTTGCATCAATTAAGAAAATGGTAAATGAAACATGTGCTGAGGTACCCAAAAAATGACAATATCTAGGAAAGATTAGATCGCATCTTCAATAACTTGGAGAATAAGCTTTACGTCATTATGCCATTACCTTTTCCTCCACTTTCTTGAACAGTGTAGATATGGTGGTCTGAACAAGTGAGCCATGATTACTAGATGAATCCTCCCTGGATTTATTCTTCTTAATCGAAATTGAAGACTGCTTCTTAGACTCTGTCTCCGACGAAGCAGACTGCCGATTTTGAATTGGAGATTGAGTTCCCTCTATTGCATCATCACTGTCAATGTCAAAGACTGCAGGGCAGACATTTTCTTTCTGTATCCAACAATTAAGTAATCAAAGATTACAGGAAGGCAAACTCGTTTAATTAAACTTAAACAATCCCAGATGTCAGCAAGATATAGAATAACAAAATTTTAATGTTGAAGTTGAGCTGAACTATCTTATCAGGAAAAAATAAATTCTTAATCAAGTTAAATAAGGACACATGTAATAAGGATATTTCCAGTAGTATGATTCCGGGATGATGAATCCAGTGCCAAAATATTTTTATCTTCTTCATATTCATCAGGATCACTTGCGGTAGAATCATCTCCTGAAAAAGCTTCTGCAAACCTGAATCCATAAAAGGGTAGAGAACATGAAACTTACTGAACTCTTTTGAGGGTATGGATAAAACAAGCTTTGATAGAAGATCAAAAGTTCAACAGTTAAAAACAATAATTGACTGGAACAAGTTAGATCCATCACATCAAGGATTTCAAAATTGAACTTTTGTGTCTTTCCAGTTCAGATAATTGAAAGGAAATCCTGTCTGACTTCTTATTCAACAAAAGATTAAAAAAAGAAAAAAGAAAAGGAACGTGCATTGTAGAATAAAATAATTATCTAAAATAACAACTCACATATATAATATTAGAAGCTGCATAAATGGCAACTAAATGTCAGTGCTATTTGTTACAATCATGAAACCTTTTTTTTATCTTTTATTAGATAAGAATTGCATTACTCGCGGGAATATAAGACCAGTCTAGGAAAGGATATAAGGTCCACAATATTTGGCCATCAAATATTTCACAATATAAATTGGCTGTAAGTGACGCTGTTTCTTTTTCTACATGCCATAGAACATAGTAACAATATATCAAAAGTAAGCGGTAAAAGCTTTACAACCTATAATTCATTCATAAATAACTAAACTTTCAAAATATACAGACATAAAGGAATACATTAAAATATGAATGCTTTGGCAGTTTATGCAATGATTGTTAATTTGACAGGGAAACATAAGAGAAAAGATTTAATTTGTCAGGGAAACATAGGAGAAAAGATTTAACCCTGTTAAAACTATAATAAATTTTTTCTAGCAAGTTAAAAAATACACCATCTTTTTCAAATAAGAATGCAGCACGTGATAGTGGATCAGTACTTGAATGTTTTTCCAGCAGTTCTTGCTGAATGCCGAACTGGAGTTGCTTTCAAATCTTTGTTTTCATCCTCAGATAAATCATCTTCAGGCGTAGATCTAGGAGATTGCTCTTCTACATCGGTGATTCCAGTTTTATGACTAATTTGCTTATTAATACATGTGCCTCCACCAGCACCACCTTTAAAATCATATTCAGCATGTTGACCCTGAAACCAACAGATGCTTAGAACATTTATTTATTGAAAAAGAATAAAGGAGATATGAGTTCACTTCTAACCACCCAAGTAAACCAGTACGCAGGAAAACTTACATCACTTAGTTCCTTGGGAAAATCAAGTCGAGCTTCTTCTGGGTTCTCGGCTGCACTCCCAATCCACCATGCATCAGAAAATACAATCTGTTACCACCAACAAGAATATGTCAAGCATATGATTCTATGCAACAAGAAAAAACTGAACTCTTTGTAACCCAATCAAGTAATAGGAAAACTTGAGGGAACAATACTTTCCTTATCTCATCAATCTTTCCCAATCTATGAGTAATATCGCCTTCGTCTTTTACCATAAAATGCATAGAATAACTTAATAAAATTACTCTTACTTAGATCCAATAAATAAAGCAGATAAAATAAGATAACAAATATTTCGATGGAATGGAGTAATCCTGTTATTTGTTCTTTTTCCTTTAAATTATTCGGCCTTTTATTTCGCAATCCTTGAAGTGCAATATTGTTTTGGCCCATTACTACAATTACGACCCAGAGAAGATGACTGAGATTAGAAGTACAAGGCTACGATGGATGGGGAGATATCTAAAAAGGGAGAACTAATAGAATTCACATTGCAAATAAAGATTAAATAAGCTTAAGTGGAAAACTGAAAGTTGGAAGATCATGCATTCTAGTTGGACAGGAAGTACAAGAATATGCATCTTGGTTCCCACAAAATATGAAAACTTTACGAGAACATCTTATTAGAGAGCTCCATGGTGGCAGTTTAAGTGCACATGTGGGACGAGACAGGATTATCTCCTTGGTTGAGGATACTTTTCTTACAGGGATGGGCCAATTTGAAAATTTTCTGCCTAGCTATTTTGCAAATGATCCAAGGTGTGATAGCTAACATTCTGACTTTTTTTTTTTTTTTTTTGCTTTGAGGATTCCTCGTCCTCTTTCCTTGTAATTATATTCCAAGGGTGGTTAGCTACCATTTTGTTTTTTTTTTTTTTTTTTTTGCTTTGAGGATTCCTCGTCCTCTTTCCTTGTAATTGATGATTATGTTAATGGTTATCAATGAAAAAGGCCTTTTCTTATCAAGAGAGAGAGAGAGAGACCATATTATCAAAGTAATCCTCACAGGTGACACTCTTAACCTCTGGGAAACTGAAGAGTCAAATATCTGTTCTGAGGATACACAATAGTCCCAAACAGCTTCATCCGACCCTGGAAAAAGAGACTCAAACAAACAGGTCACCAAAACAAGTTTTCTCGCATTTTCTCGCCAAACAAACAAGGAAAAGGAAAAATGGAAGAAAATCAAACAATTGAATAAACCTGAGGGAAATCGAGATAGAGAACGGGGTTCTTGGTGCCTAAATCCTTGAGCTCGCCGATCTTCCCGCCGGCGACGGGGGCGAGGAGGCCGGGGAAGGAGAAGAGGAACTTGTTTTTCCTCTGAGATCTCTTGACGATGTCCTTGCCGTGGTGTTTGGCGACCATTTTCGAAGGGGAAAGAGGTGAAAGGGTTTTGGCATGGGTTTGGGAGAGGATGTTGTTGGAGAAGGCGAGGGATCTGAGCCTCTTCCGCTCTGCGGCCTCTGGGTTGGTCGATCCCTCGCCATCTTCTCCGACCTTCTTCTTCTTCTTCGATGAAGCAGCAGCAGCTCCCGCCATTGTCAACGATACAAGCTCTCACACACAAATAGAGTTTGGGATTTCTTTTTTTTTGGCTTTTTTAGGGAGTGGATTTCTGGGGGATTTGTTTGTGAGGTTTTAAGAGAAGGCGGGAACAACTTCCCTTTTTATGGCTTTCCCAGGTCATGTTTGATTCATAGGTTGCTTTTTACTGTAGTCTTTTTTTTTTAATAAAAAATTTGACTGTTAATTTAAATTTATGTTTATTGTTTTAATTTTATTTTAAATTTATCTTTATCATTTATTTTTTAATTAGCTAGAGTTCTAGTTCTATTAAGATTAAAAAATTATATATTAAGAGGTAGTTACTATTAAAAGATACGAATTATATACTCTATGTCATGGCATTCATTCAAACATTTAAGACCCGTTCATTTCGCTAATTCGAGTTTTATTACGGTAAAAAGCTCTTAAAAATCGTCACATTTAATTTTTTTACTATAATAAAAGACTCTCACATAAAATCACATCTTAACGCTCTCATTCAATCATTCTATAAAGTTCATAGCTTTTTTTTTTTAATAATAAAGTTCATAACTTTTAGTTTAAAACCTTGTCACTCCTTTATTTCCGCCGCATAAACTTTATCAATTGGTACCAAAGCTCTCTGTTACAGTTATAATAATATAACGCCAACAGACATAACTACCTCTTAATAAACTACTGTTAAATTCTTTAAAAAAAGAAAAGAGATTATTGTTGAAGAACTAGACGCCCGAGCGCATGGTATCGAACAATGACTATAGAGACTTGGGTAGTTAGAAAACTACCATTGAGCTTCTTGCTCAATATATAAGAGAAAAGATTTGTAGATAAATATATGGCTACCACCACTGCTATTGATAATTGGGAACCTGTTCAACAAGTCGACCAAGATCTTATAAAGCACCGGAGAACAACCGTGGACAACAACTAGCCGCCATCCCCGAACCAGTCACCCGCCAGCCTCATCCCCCGTCTGACGGCTCACCATGATACCTAACCAACTTTCGTACCACAATCATCGTTGTCTTCAAAATCTACCTGTTGTGGATTAACCCATAAACCTTCAAACTCCAGTTACCAACCAAGATCTCGATACTAAGAGAAAAAACCCTAGTAATCGATAGAACAAAGAAACGGAAAAACACAATCAAGAACAGAGAAGGAAAGGAAACAGTGCACACACGATTTACCGAGGTTCGGCCAAAAGAACTTTGACCTACGTCCCCGTTGAGCAGCAGCTTGCTCGATGGCTTCTTCACTATGATCGCAAGAATGGTTACAACAGATTACAAGAACTTTCTCTCTCTAAGTTCTCTCTCTCTCTACAGTTTTGCGGAATAAGAATGATGAATACAGAGGAAAAAATCCAGAGAGTTCTATACGAGTCTCACTTTTACATATATTAACCGATTGTGCTATAATACAGCCCACCACACAGTAAAGCCTTGTAACTGCCACATCATCTAGCTTTGACCATTTTGAAGCCACGTGGATTACTTGGGCAATTAATCAACAATTCTCCACCTTGTCCAAGTAATCTGAGAACACTTGTATAGCTGCTGCTCAATAATCCCTTCATTAGGGATCATCCTGAGTCAATGTGAAGTAAGCTCAAGCAATGCTTGAACTTTGGTGATGCCAGTGCTTTAGTGATCATATCGGCTGGGTTTTCTTCAATAGCAACCTTCTCCAGTTGAATCTCACCATTTGACAAGATATCTCGAATGAAATACAGCCTTACATCTATGTACTTAGTCCTCTCGTGGTAAACTTAGTTCCTGCACAGATGAATAGCACTCTGGCTATCACAAAAAATCTTCACACTCTCTTGAGCCATCCCCAGTTCTTCAACAAATCCCTTTAACCATATAGCTTCTTTGATTGCCTCTGTTACAGCAATGAATTTTGCTTCTGTGGTTGAGAGAGCTACGACGTGCTGTAAATTTGCTTTCCAGCTGATTGTGCAGCCATAGAACTGGAATGTATAGCCTGTAAGTGATCTCCTGTTGTCCAAGTTTCCTGCATAATCTGAATCCACGAACCCAGATACTCCCTGTTTGTGCTTGTCGTTCCTTCCATAATGCAGGCCTACCTCTGATGTTCCTCTGAGGTATCTCAGAATCCATTTCACTGCTTCCCAGTGATCCTTTCCTGGATTAGACATGAATCTGCTGACTAAGCTTATTGCATAAGCTAGGTCAGGTCTTGTACAAACCATTGAGTACATTAGACTTCCCACTGCATTGGAATATGGCACCTTTTTCATGTAGTTTTCTTCTTGCTCCGATGATGGACAGTTTGATGATGATAGTCTGAAGTGTTGAGCCATAGGAGTAAGAATTGGTTTTGAGTCTGCCATGTTGAACCTTTCCAATACTTTCTTAATGTAGCCCTTTTGTGAAAGGAATAATCTGCCTTCCTTCCTATTTCTGGTTATCTCCATACCTAGGATTTTTCTGGCTGGTCCTAGGTCCTTCATGTCAAATTCTCCCTTCAAAAGTCCCTTGACCTTTTGAATTTCTTCCATATCTTGACAGGCTATTAACATATCATCTACATATAGTAATAGGTAGATATATGTACCTGATTTCCCCTTCTTGAAGTAGACACAGTGATCGTGCTTGCTTCTTCCGAATTTATTTGATAGCATGAATTCATCGAAACGCTTGTACCATTGTCTGGGCGATTGCTTCAACCCGTACAATAATTTCTTGAGGAGACACACCTTGTCTTCATTTCCCTGTGCTGTGAAGCCTTGAGGTTGCTGCATGTATATTGTTTCTTCGAGCTCTCCATGCAGAAAAGCAGTTTTAACATCTAACTGCTCCAACTCCAAATCGAAGTGAGCTGTAAGAGCTAACAAAACTCTTATTGAGCAATGTTTTACCACAGGTGAGAAGACTTTATTGTAGTCTATGCCCTCCTCATGCTGTGTAAACCCCTTAGCTACTAACCTAGCCTTATACCTTGCTTGCTCCACTCCTTCGATGCCCTCCTTTTTCTTGAATACCCACTTACATCCCACAATCTTTTGCTTGGCCGGTTTCTCCACCAAAACCCAAGTATTGTTTTTATGTAATGACTCAAGTTCATCCTTCATAGCGCTAATCCATTTGTCTGACTCCTCGCTCTTTACTGCCTCATAGTAGTTAGACGGTTCTGAGTCTGTTGTGCCATCGGTAATGCTATGAGCATAATGAGTGAGGTCTGCATAACCAAATCTCTCAGGGGGTTTGGTTTGCCTTCTCACTCTATCTCTTGCAAGTGTATAGTCAGCCAAAGGATCTATTTCCTCTACCTGATTCCCTGCGTCTGTTCTTCTTCAACTTCGTTGTTGGTTGAGCTTTGTGGCTCCACCTCCAGCCTTAGTTTATCCTGAGGGTTGTGTTCCTCTGTGTTTGTTGCATTGGGCGTCTTGGCATTGTACATTTCAGCTTCATTGAATACAACGTCTCTGCTGATTATTGCCCTCTCGTATCCTGGTTTATTGCACCATAGCCTGTAACCTTTCACTCCATATGGATACCCCAAAAACATGCATTTGATTGCCCTTGGATCCAGCTTTCCTTGCTTACTGTGAGCATAAGCTGTGCAACCGAATACTCTCAAGTGATCCAGCTTTGGAGGGTGACCTGTCCATTTTTCCTGAGGAGTTTTATTACTAATTACTCGGGAGGGGCTTCTGTTGATCACATGAGTTGCTGTCTGTACTGCCTCTGCCCAAAAGGTTTTTGGTAATGATGCATTTGACAGCATGCATCTCACTCTCTCCATGATGGTCCGGTTCATCCGTTCAGCCATTCCATTTTGTTGTGGGGTGTCTCTCACACTGTGGTGTCTGTCAATTCCTTCTTCCCTGCAAAACAGATTAAATTCTTCTGCGACAAACTCAAGGCCATTGTCAGTTCTGATTTTCTTTACTTTCTTTCCTAGTTGGTTCTCTGTTAAGACTTTCCATTCTTTAAATTTATTAAAAGCATCATTTTTATTTTTCAGAATATAAGTCCAAACTTTCCTACTAAAGTCGTCAATGATTGAAAGAAAATATCTAGAACCATTATGAGAAGATACTGTAGAGGGACCCCATAAATCAGAATGGATGTAATCTAAAGGAGCTTTAGTGCAATGAATACCTGTATTGAACCTTACTCGGCATGTCTTACCATATATGCAGTGTTCACAGATGCCCACCTTTGAGGTTTTGGCCCCGTTGAGTAGTCCCTGCCTATGCAGCTCTTCTAGACCTTTTTCACTGATGTGAGCAAGTCTCATATGCCACAATTTGGTTACTGATGATGAATCCTGTGATGCAGCAGCTGCTTCACCTACGATGGTTCTGCCTTCCAGGATGTATAGGCCATTCTTGAGGATTCCTTTCATGACTATGAGTGACCCCCTAATGACTTTGAGTACTCCTTTCTCAGATTTGAAGCCGAAACCCTGAGCATCCAACATCCCTAAAGATATCATATTTCTCCTTAATTCCGGGACATATATGACATTAGTGAGAGTCTTCTCCATGCCATTTGTCAGCTTCAATCTAATGTCGCCAATACCCTCCACCTGACAAGCCTTGTCATTCCCAAGTAGAACTTGTCCTCCTTCTTGCTTCTTGAATGAAATAAAGCTTGACTTGTTGGGGCACATATGGAAGGAGCATCCTGAATCGATAATCCACTCACCTTCAGGCTCGTTTTCTGATAGCAGCAATAATTCTGAACTGTCATACCCATCTATAACCAAATATGCATTTCCCGTTTCCTTTGACCTCTCAGTGAATCTCTTCTTTCTCTCTGGACACTCCTTCTTGAAATGTCCTTCCTTGTGACATATAAAGCATTTTCTTTTTCCCTTGGATTTGGATCTTGGCCTGCTTTTGGATCTGTTGTCTCTCCTTTTAGGCCTTCCTCGGACTGTAAGGCCTTCTCCTCCTGCTTCCTCCTTAACTCCATGTTTCTTCTTCAATTCTTTAGAATTTAGAGCCGCCTTTACCTCTTCCAAGGTAATGGAGTCTCTTCCGAATAACATGGTATCTGCCAAGTTCTCAAAAGAGCTTGGCAGAGAACTTAGTAACAAGATAGCCTGATCCTCATCCTCAATAGTTATATCAATGCTTTTTAAGTCCAAGATTAGACGATTAAATTCATCTAAGTGTTTCTTCAAAGAACCACCTTCCTCCAGAGTCAAAGTATAAAGGGCCTTTTTCAAGAAAAGCCTATTAGCTAAGGATTTAGTCATGTACCTGCCTTCCAGTTTCAGCCATACCCCTGCCGCTGATGGTTCGCATGAAACCTCGCGCAAGACCTCGTCACCAAGACTGAGAATTATCGCGCTGTGTGCCTTGGACAGAATGTCCTTCTATTTGTCGGAGAGCGAATCCGACATATGATCCTTTCCAAGAAGCGCGTCATCGAGCCCCTGATGTACCAGTAGAGCTCTCATCTTAACCCTCCAGAGATTGAAGTCATTTTCTCCCGTGAATTTTTCGACATCGAATCGAGTTGTCCCCATGGTTGTTTTGCCCTAGCCTTTTAAGATTAGGGCTCTGATACCAATTGTTGTGGATTAACCCAGAAACCTTCAAACTCCAGTTACCAACCAAGATCTCGATACTAAGAGAAAAAACCCTAGTAATCGATAGAACAAAGAAAAGGAAAAACACAATCACGAACAGAGAAGGAATGGAAATAGTGCACACACGATTTACCGAGGTTCGGCCAAAAGAACTTTGACCTACGTCCCCGTTGAGCAGCAGCTTGCTCGATGGCTTCTTCACTATGATCGCAAGAATGGTTACAACAGATTACAAGAACTTTCTCTCTCTAAGTTCTCTCTCTCTACAGTTTTGCGGAATAAGAATGATGAATACAGAGGAAAAAATCCAGAGAGTTCTATACGAGTCTCACTTTTACATATATTAACCGGTTGTGCTATAATACAGCCCACCACACAGTAAAGCCTTGTAACTGCCACATCATCTAGCTTTGACCATTTTGAAGCCACGTGGATTACTTGGGCAATTAATCAACACTACCATATAACGAATTTAACATGGAACTAGATATACGCAAATTCGACGGTGAATGAGGTATTGAAGATTGTCTAGGTTAGCTAAAATTAGTGGAAGATTATTATTCCTATATGGATTAATTTCATTTAAATTAACAAAAAGAACTCTTGCATGGTGGGAAGACGCTCGAGAAAATGAGTGTTTTAGTTGAAAATACATTAAGACATTATTGTTCGGTGTATAATTACAAATAACTAGTATACAATTTTTAGAACATTTTCTAATGAAAGGCCAAAGAATTCAAATGTGCTGGCCACATAGACAATCTCAAAACCCAATATTGTGCACAGATCTGGCTAGCCCAAGAATCTAAACCTGAAAGTCTATTTAGGCTGAGTCGAGCAAGCCCAATTAACCTTTTCATTATCCTTTTATTAAAAAAAAGGAAATAGTAGAAAATATGTCAATATGAAAAGCTTAAGAAAGTATATAGGCCAATTTTTAGTTATAGAAATTAATAGGCCATAACTTGTCAAGTTATGGTTCATAACTAGATAAGTTATGGACAAACTTATCAAGTTATGGTTCATAGCCAGACAAGTTATGGATAAAAACAGTAATTTAGCTTATTTATTAACTTATGTAAACTATTGACTTATTAATTTTAATTCATCTCAAGTCTTGGCCTATTTTTCTCTTTCTCCCTTAAAAAAATTCTCTTATAAAGTTTCAAACCAACCTAACTCGTAAGATTTCATACCACAATAGGCCAATCTTCTTCTTATTGATTTCATCATTCGGATTGTTGGGTTGGATTGGCATTCCAAATTTACCAGGATGAAGAACCATAGGAAAAAAATGAGACAAATATCCTTTACAATGCATGCGTCTTAGATTCTTATCATTTACTCTTAATTAATATTTTTTAATTACAAAACTATATTAGGCAAAATGCTATTAATTAAGAGTAATTGATAAAATTTTTTAATTTTTGGCCCATTTGCCGCTAAACTGTTTTGGTTTAGCAAATCACCTCCCAAACTTTAATTTTAGTGAGTTGTCCTTCAATTCGTACGGTTGTTGCAATATTTCCAGTTTGAATATAATTATAAAAATTAGTGTCAAAAAGCACATTGAGTGAAAGTTTTAACATCATAATTCAAATACAACACAAATCTTTCAATTTCTCAACTTTTAATTTTTTAATTCTAATAAAAAATTTAAACAAATTTAATAAAATAAGACACATTGTTAAATTTACAAGTTTGAGAGTTAATTATTAACATTAAAAATTTAGAAATAATTTATTAAACCACGGTAAATTTAAAAAGCAATTGTGCTTAAAACTTTAAAATATTATACTAATCCTCTCTTTAAGGTAATTTTAAATTGTCTCTGGAAAACCATGAGGCCAATTTGCAAGAAGTCAATGTCAGAAGCGTAATTTCATCAATGCAAAACGCTACTATAAAACCGGCCATTTTGGGGCTTTAGGGTTTTTGCAGACTAGCTTACCCTTGTCTATTTCACTCTTCTCTTCGACTTTGGCTGAAACCTAAAAACCAAATCATGACTGCTCAGACCCAGGAAGAGCTTCTCGCTGCTCATCTCGAACAGGAAAAGATTGATGTAAGACGCTATATCTAATCGTCTCTTTATGTGCCAATTTTGTTGATTTTTTTTTTTTTGCGTTTTTGTTTGTTTTTGCCTTTTCTCTGTAAGATCCGGTAGTTGGTTTACGCAATTATTTGCTTTTGAGGAATTCTATGGAAACGAACATAAATTGAAGCTTTAAACCGTTGAAGATGAGATTTTTCTAGTGGTATTTGGATTTTTTGTTATGCTTTTTTGTTAGTAAAATTGCCGTCTTTTCACTACTGGCTTTATGTAGCTTTGACAATTTACAAGATTTTCCAACAATGTTTTCATTCTTAGTTATTTTATTGTTATATTTTCATTTTGCTCATACTATATTGGTAGTTGTAGTGGCTATTGTTGTCTTTTTCATTGGTTCTCCTTCGATATGTATGTTCCTTTTCAAATCAAATTTTTCTGAAATAAAATGAAGAATATCCCGAATATTCTTTTGTTGAATTGCAAGTTTGAGGGTCTGGAAGATGTGTATCCAAATTACGTTAATACCCTTTATCTTATACAGCAATATTAAACTTGAAAATGGTAACTTTGTTTTGTCCTGAAGGAGACAAGTTCATTTCCTTTCCATTTCCACTTTATTGCTCATTATATTGCCTTCATTGTTGCTCATGTTGTGATTTTGCTCCTTATTTTCCTGCAGTATCTTTTTAGTATTGAGAAATTATGTGCTCATAAATCTCGAGGCTAATTTAGAACTATCGGTGAATGCACTGTATTAGAATCTGTCTATTGTTTTCACCTCTTTTTCTTGCCTGAAATTGTATTTGGGTTAATAATAAATTATATCTGCAGCCTGATCAGCCTACGGTTGAAGATGAAGAGGACGATGATGAGGAGGATGATGAGGAGGATGACAAGGATGATGATGAAGTTGAAGGTAAAGTTTATTGCTTGCAACTGAATGCTCTATCTCTCTCTATTGTTCTTTCCATTTTATTTTCTAGGCTACCTTTTTAATAGCATCATCAATTAATAAAAATAAAAAAAACTTATTTTCCACAAATAGTTATGGAATGACTATCATGATTGTGGGTAACTACTATATCACTAGCGTAATCTGACATGGTAGGGGCCTTAAAAAAATCGAAGCTTGTGTTAACCACATCCTCCTATATTTATTGCTTCTTTTGGTACTTGGTTTTGGACATGAAGATCTAAGTTGATGGCATACATTTATATTCATGTTCTCTTGCGTTTAGTTTAGTTTAGTGTTTTTTATTTATTTTGTTTTTTAATTAGAACCCAGTTGGCAGTATGCTAATTTGTTCTTATTAACAGCATTTATTGCGAGGTAAGAAACCAGATATCCATAGGAGAAAACTCTGTATGAATGTGTTATTCTGAACTATGAAGCAATCAGACAAGATGTCAGGAGATGGTTTACTAAGTTTATAGGCAGTAAATTACTTCTTATTGCAATGGTGCTGTAACTTTTCTTTAAATGCTGGTGATGAAGTGGGCTTACATTGAGATATTTGGTTTTTGGGCTAAATTTTGTGGAATGATTTTTAGTTAGTAAATTAGTCTATTGAATGTAATCAACGAGCGAGGGCAACTCAGTTGGTTGTGAGCCCCTCCGCTCCAACCTCTAGGTTGGAGGTTCAAGTCATCATGAGTGTGTGTGTGGGTATGGGTGTGTGAGTTGTTTGATGAGTCTATTGAATGCAACTTTTTTTTTTTTTTTAATTTTATCAAACAACAAACTTTAACCTTTATTTTATGGGTTAGTGATTTTGTATATTGTTGAAATTGCTAAGTTCCATCACATTATTCATAGCTTTGATAGAATATTGTATGTTAATTGCTTATTTAAGAAAACAAGCTAAAGAATGTATAAATGTGATGTTCCCTCTGACCTTGGATTTGCTCAAAAGTTCAGACTTTGTAATGAAACATGATCCTATCCTGTCTATACTTGTTTAATATTCTTGTTTTGAATGAATTTCATCCTTTTGTGTTATAACAGGGCAACATGATGGAGATGCAACTGGTAGGTCAAAGCAGAGTAGAAGTGAAAAGAAGAGTCGGAAAGCAATGCTAAAGCTTGGAATGAAGCCTATTCCCGGTGTTAGCAGGGTGACTGTCAAAAAGAGCAAGAATGTTAGTACCTTTTCCTACTCCGGTATTTTGGCTATGTTTTCTTTCAAATTGATCCACTTTTATTGTTAATTTGATTACCATATTAACACTTACGATACTTCAATCAGATCTTGTTTGTCATCTCAAAACCAGATGTTTTCAAGAGTCCAACCTCAGATACATATGTCATTTTCGGGGAGGCTAAGATCGAGGACTTGAGCTCACAACTCCAGACACAGGCTGCAGAGCAGTTCAAGGCTCCTGATCTCAGCCACGTGATCTCTAAACCTGAGTCCTCGGCCATGGCCCAGGATGACGAAGATGTAGATGAGACTGGAGTGGAACCAAAGGATATCGAGTTGGTCATGACACAAGCTGGAGTATCAAGGTCAAAGGCTGTGAAAGCACTGAAGGCTGCAGATGGAGACATTGTTTCTGCCATTATGGAGCTTACCAACTAAGAAGAGTTGGATTGTTATGGTTCCTGGATAGGTGTGCTTTTAAACTTGAGATGTTTTCAAATGCTAGCCCCTTTTTGTTCTTTTTCTAATTCGTCCTTGTCGAATGAGTTGAAACTAATATATGCCTACATGGATAAAAACAGAGCCTTCTTTGCCCTCTTGATTTCCATTTTCCGCTAGGTTTTGTCATGTTAGTTCACCGGCAACCGAATTAGGCCCCTCGGATTTTACATATTTACTTGCTAGAAGCAACGGGAAGCGCGTCATAAGTGCATAATGATTAGTTGAAAGTTGGGAGAAATTTTGGTCGCCGGCATGAAAGTTTCAAATCAGCTTCTAGTGCCCAACTCCAGAGCCTTCTTTTATAGATTTTCTAATGATGAATCCAACTATTCTGCAAGTCGACCAAGGGTTTCCCAATTTGGAGTCAAGATTTTCTCAGTTTTACGGCTTTTGCCTGGCCAAAAATAGTAAAACTGGTCGTTTGCCTTGCTTCATATGGTACTTGTTATAGTTGTGATGGATAAAGTACCTTTGCTTAAATTGGTAACTGAATTTGAAGAGAAGGAAAAAAAAAAAAAAAACAAATCAACTGTAAGATGAATTAAGAACTTAAAAGTGGTATATGAAATAACACGGCACCTCATAGCGGATGGAAACCTGTTGGTAAATAGATTTGTGATTTTCCCCTTGACTGGAAAAATGTCGATCCACTTGATTTGAGAAAAATTCATCGGTAAATTCTGACGGCATTCAAAATTAGCTTGCAACCTTGCCTATTTGGCGAGTTACAATTGATTTTTTTAGAGGTTGTTTAGTATTTAAATTTAAATCATTCTGCTTTAATATTTTTTCTCACACAAAGAATTTAAATAAAAAAAATTCTCTTTAAAAAAAAAGGGCGGCCGACAGTTGTGTCTTGGCTTTTCTCCAAGATTAGAGCCTCATAACATTACTTTTTCATTGGACTGTAACAAATGAGTGAAAAAAGAGAGAAAAAAAAAAGTGGTCAATAGTACCTTGCTTCATTAAATATAGGCCCCGTTTGGTATGCATATTGGCCATAGGATAAATTTAAGGTAATGGATTGGAATGTATAAAAAAGACTAGCATTAAATTTTTTACTTTAATCCAATCCCATGTGTGGTGTTGTGTTATTAGGATAAGGGTGTTTTTGTAAAAAAAAATTAAAATTTGGGATCAAATTGTAATCTTTTAAAAATTAAGGGGCAAAAATATAAATTGCAAATATATTTCTCATATAAAAATTGTATTTTGACCACTAAATTTTTAAAAAATTACAATTAGACTCCAAATTTTATAAAATTTGACAAATAAATCCTAATATTTTTCACAATGTGCTCTCTAGTTAAAAAATTATCTCATGCTTCAGTAGGGATAGCAACATCCGCTTCTAAGGGTATTTAAGCAAGGGATGGACAAAAGTTTATCCAATAACTCTTTTAAAAATATTCACTAAACACGGTATTAAAATTTAATCATATCCAAATCTCCGTAATTTTGAGCACCAAACTGGCCATATATTGTACTAGGATGATATATTGTGGTTGCTCTATGATTCAAACGCATTACGCTTGTAGAATGACCTTTTTACTCTAATTGTTACCAACTTATCGAGAGAACTCATCCTAAGAAGACCTCTGTATTTGCAAATGTATCCAATGATTCAAATACTGGGCAAATTATTTATATTTTTATTATTATTAATTTATTTATCTATTTATTTTCATCTTAGTTGGGACTTAAATATAGCCAACAATCTATAGACAAAAGGCGACAGCTTTCATCTAATGAGCCAATCTTAGGTCTCGTTCACTTCGCGGATTCGAGTTGAAATGTGACATTTTTTGAAAGCTTTTCACTGTAGCAAAAATAAATAAATAAATAAATGTGACATTTTCTGAGAGCTTTTTGTAGAAACCTAAAACTAAAAACTCGAATCAGTGAAATGAACGAGCCCTTACAGTCACAATTTCTCAAATGAGTGCCATTACAAAATTTCAAAGGGCTGAAAATTAGAAAATTTCATCGCTTTCATCTGATGAGCCAATCTTAGGTCTCGTTCACTTCGCGGATTCGAGTTGAAATGTGACATTTTCTGAAAGCTTTTCACTGTAGCAAAATAAATAAATAAATAAATAAATGTGACATTTTCTGAGAGCTTTTTGTAAAAACCTAAAACTAAAAACTCGAATCGGTGAAATGAACGAGCCCTTACAGTCACAATTTCTCAAATGAGTGCCATTACAAAATTTCAAAGGGCTGAAAATTAGAAAATTTCATCGTCATTAAGTTTATTTTTGATGATACCAAACACATAAACCAAGTAACCGACCACAATACCCGCAAGTGCACAAGTAAACAGTGCTAATTACTCGATGAATGACCTTATAAAAAACCTCATATTTGTTTGTCTTAATTTTATTTTTTTTTACAATTAACTTTTTATTTTGAAAATTAGAGTTGCATATCATATAATTCAATTCCCTTTGTAAATCTCTCCCCTGCCAACAACTTAATGAAAAATGAGACATAAAGGCCGTGTTTGGAATTAATTTCGTTTTTATTTTTCACATTTTTTGAGAAAGAAAAAATAAAAACGTTTTCAAAACGGCGTTTGACGCAATAAAGATAAAAAACATAAATGAAAACGATTTTTTGGTTTAGTGTAAAATGAGAGAAATGACAAACGTTAGTCGTTTTTCATTTTTTTTTTTTCGTTTTCTCCTCTCTTGAGTAGAGAGAAAAAGAGAGAGACATGAATGAGTTTTTTTATATTAAAAACAATATCTTGATAAAACTATCGAACGCATTTTCAAAAATGATTTTTGTCTGAGATTGAAAACGTTTTCATTTTCATTTTCATACAAAAAAATAAAATCATTTTGAAACGAATTCTAAACGCGTCTTTATATTTATTTCGTCCTGAAATAAGACATCTAATACATGTTTAGATCAGATAAGGTTTTTAATACTTCAATAGTCAGACAAAACATGACGCATCACTCACTGTAGGTATTCAATTTATGTACCAACTCAAGATATGCTTATCGGACTCTATGTATTAACTAGCGGCTTTAAGGGAGAAAAATACTATATGGGTAAGTATTGTCTAGTATCTGTTACAGTTTAAACATAGTAAAAGATGTTCTATCTTAATTTTCTCAACCCTACTGTTGATAGGGGAGATATTTACAAAGAAAATCAAACTATATGAAATTAAGTTATGATTGTCATCAACAAAAAATAATTTGTGAAATGAAAAAATAAAAAATAAAAAAAGGGAAATTTTTGTTAGAAAAATCATACTTAGAATAATTTTAAACTTTATTCGTTTCTGATTCCGAATCATAATTTATGATTTTCTATAGTGTTTTTCTCTCACAAAAAACACACGTAAAACGAGAATAATTTTGAATCCTGATTCTAAATACATAACCAAACGTTCACTAAAAGATTTTCAGTATCCTCAGTCCTTGGGTGTCAAATCAACATTCTCTTACATTTACCTTTCTCAGACTAGGGATGTGTATGGAATAATAGCTTCTAGTATTCCAGTTTCACGTTGGTTTTCTAACGTTGTTTCATATTAAATAAATAAATAAATAAATCGGGAACTAAAATTTTGGAATCAAATCTTCAAGATATTACATTGATAAACCTCTCACAAATTGTCTTAATTCCATGAAAGCTCAGTTACTTTCATAGCTGCCTAACTTTGACCAATATCTATGGTGCTTTGGAGCTTTCTTTTCTTCCTGAAACTCTCCTCCTTTTTCCTCATTTTTCCCTCGTGCCAAACATGTGGACCACCCCATTATTTTAGATTCTTCTTCATAAGCCTTGACACTAGTCCTAACTCTCTGGTCAAAGTTCAAAGCTCCACTATTATTTTACCCAACATGAACGACGAGAACAAAAAGACAATCGTTATCCTCATTTTGGTTGGACTTTCAATATCATGCAAGTGGGTCATTTTTTGTTCTCAAAAACCAACAAAAAATCATTATGAGAGAGGCCCATTTGAATTTTCAGAGCATGAACCTACACGGCTCAATTTCCCGCCTTTAGTAATGAAGAATAAGACCAATTATTGCGATCAAGAATAAACCAAGATTCAGGTAATATTCACAATAATAATATTTCAGCAATAAGTGAACAAATCTAATCTGATTGTGTCACTAAAACATAAAACCATTACATATAATATGGAGAGAGGTATTTGTAGATAATAGGAAATAGACCAAAGTTTAATTTATGAAACAAGAAAATGGCCCTAAATTTCAACAACAGAGGCTAATATTAGGACTCGGTTACTTTCCAGTCCCATATCAGAACCTATATTCTTAGAAGACAAAGTTTGTTACAATAGAGAAAAAACCAAAGTTTAAGATTTTTTAATATCTAAGAGGTTTGAACAAATAACTAAAATAAGTAAACAAGAAAGGTCAAACTCATGAAGACTGTGAAAGGATGAACTATAACCATCCTGATTGAGCTTTCCCTCGAGTAATATACAGGTACAGCTGCTGCCCAAGTACTGAAGCAGGTAAGCCATGAAAAACTAAGATTCAGTTCTCGATTTTCAGATGTACCAGAGGGAGACATCTTGCTTTGGCAGTGAATCCACCGTGTATTCAGCCGGTGCCAAGTTAAAAGGAGAACCGAATCTTATGTCTGAGATGTTATCAGTCGGGTTGTTGTCCAATGAAGAATCAAATGCCTTGCACTGATCGAACTGAACATCTGACGATGGGAAAACCGCATGATGCGAAGGTATATTAGTTTGCAGAGGCGCGTTGGTGTTGCCTCCCATAACACCACTACCCTGACTATAAAATCCATCATCCATCTGAAACTGATAGTTTTGCTGTTGTGGATCATGGTGCTCGGTAGCCGTAAAATTCCCAGGATTCAAGCTTTTCCTCCGCTGCGGCATATTTATGTCGTAGAATGACAAAAGATCAGAAATCATCTTCTGCCCATCTTCCGGAAGACCGAGACCAGCAATACCTACTTGAGCCGTCTGGGTGACAGGTGCGGGAGGTGGCTTAGGTTGGGAAAAGGGCATGGACAACACTGCAGGTTTGTCATTGTTGACCTGAAAGCCTGACATTCCAAACGCTTGGGATGAATTGCACCGATATGGGCAATTCATCTGATGATTATTACGCGAGGTCCTATCGAGAAATCCTAGTCGGTAATCATGATAGGGGCATTGAGGGTGTTCGCAATTATAGATCTTCTGGTCCAGCGTTACTTGTGGCTCTTCAGCGAGTGTTTTCCTCTTCTGAACAAAATCCAAATTGGTTTCAAGAATCTCTCCTTTAATCTTAGGAGGCACTACTGGTTGCATCATAAGCCTATCTCTCGGTGCCACACTCCCGATATTGAACAGATTGACATTACGGGGCTTGCATTCCTCTACTTCGATATTAGGTTCAAAATTCACCCCTTCAACATCATAATCACTAGTATCATTAATGACAAAAGAACCGCTGCTAGCAGCTGACACCGGCGGACACCTATCAGGATATAATTTGCGGGCTAAAGCTTCTTCTTGGTTTATAATGGCCAGCCAAGTGGCACTTTCCTTAGCAGTCATTTTGTCCTGCAAGCATTTAGATTGCCGAACAAGCTTGCGAATCTTTGCAATGTCTGGAGACATGTGCTTGATCACAGCCGTGAGGACACCCACCTTCCAAGCCTTCTTCAGATCATGAGGCTTCTTGTATGGAGGAGGCCCCTGATCCTTAGGTAGACCCAATTGTGGCCACCATTCCTCGCTGCCATTAGGCCACCAAGGAGGGGCAACACCCTTCTCCAAAGGGAAACGTCTCTGAGGTGGATCACAGTGCTGCATCAGAGCTGACAAAAGTGAGCCGAGAGTGGTGTCTTGGAGCTCCTGCAAGGTGTGAGGAGTGGATGCCACGGTACTGCAGTCTTCGTTCTGACCAGGGATCGAGTGATCTGACTGGTACTTAGCAATCGCAGCCGGCCCATTACGATCAAACCGTACTTTTTCCTTCCACCAAGCACGGAGATTGTCGGAGGCACCACTAACTGGTTTTCCCTTTTCAGGGATAATTCCATACACAAAACCTTGAGCTTTACAAACTTCCATCATTTTCAGCATGTATTTCAGGATCCCATCTTGTGCCCTTGACATCTTCTTCCTCCTTGCTTGCTCCTGCGATTGACGTTGCCTCGCATTGTCTGCTCCTTGCTTTCCCTTATTTTGCTCTTTCAGCCGCCTCAATAGCATGCGGTCTCTCCACATCCTCCTCTCAAGCTCATCAACATCCATCTCGTCATCGCTGTAATCCTCCTCTACTGTTGTTGCCTCTGGCTCATGCTCTAAAGCCTCCTCCGCTTCTCGTGGAGGAGCAGAAAGAAACTCAAAATTACCGGAAAATCCCAGCTCTTCGAAAATGCCCATTGAAAACCCACCCGAAGGGAAGGCCAATCTGTGTGTGTGGATCAACTCTTCAATCTTTATGTCCGGAACCAAGTTCCAACCTTTGCTCAAAGATATCAGTTGAAAAGTTTTAAGAGCTCAACCCCCAAATGGTTGATCAGATCCGATGTTTGCAATCTGCATAAATTGAAAGACAACTTCAGTCACTTTTTACATCCGCAAATATTACACCAGTTAAATTGGATAGTAATTAAGACTACGATTCAATGTAAAACAAACCAACAAGAAAACTCATAAAAGCTATTAATTACACAAATACAAAAATAAAGGAAAGAACAAAATAGCAAAACCATTCAGTTGAGGAAAAATACTAAAAAATGGCATAAAATCAACAAATTGATACCTCCTAAAGAAAAACAAGGATCGTCAAATGTACACACAAAGAAAAACAGAGAAAATACATAAACTTCACCCAAAAAAAAAAAAGAAAGGTAATATCCTTAAAGGGGTTGATCCTGATGCTCAAAACGAACAAGCTTTCCTCAGGAATTAAGGACAGAAATGATGTAATCACACGAATAAGGATTAGTAACAAACATAAGAATCATCCTCACAACTATGCAAACAAATTAATTTGGGCATCCACAAATCTGCTATATAGCCTACCCAAAAAGAAGAAGAAGCTTCCAACAAATCATCCTCAAAACCAAGCAAACAATTTCACTTTATTACAATTATTTTAGCACATCATTTTTGACCAAGTAATTACATAATATAACAATCTTATAGACATACGAGAGCAAGCAAAGTTATTTCATTCATCATCTATCTAGATAAAAAACAGGTCAATACAACAAAAAAAATTTTATAAAATTAAATTATTTCTCATAAACAACAGAAAAGAAACAAGCCTACTTCAATCACAAACAGAAAGATCTAGCATATCATTGAAACAAGCAGTTGACGAAATTTAAAAACAAAAAAACAAAAAACAAAAAACAAAAAACCGAAACATTTTTACGCTTTATTTCCAATATCACAGATACCCAGATAAGAAGAAGATGGATATAGTCGAAATCAAAAAACTAAAAGGGATGTAAAACAAGAGAGTTATAAAAGTACTTTTGATGGTGATTATTCAGTGGTAAAAGCCATGGAAGGTCCTCGTGCGAGCTCTCTGAAGGATCTCCCTCCTTTTTCCTCTGTAATTTTACTTTTCTGAGCTTTCCACATGGAGAGAGAGAGAGAGAGAAGAAGCTAGAGAGAGAGAATCTGAGCAATCAGGAGTGGTGGGACAAAAAAAGAATGATAAGCTTCTCCACCAGCTAGTTTCTTTCAACTTTTTTTTTTTTAAAATTTATTCTCATTTCTCTCTCTCTCTCTCTTTTATTTTTTATTTTTTTGTTTTTTTGTTTTTTCCTCATTTGGTATTTAACCGTGGTCGGGTTACTTTTCAACCGTGGTTAAGCCGTCTGGTGCCATTTGGGATTCTCTTGTGTCTGCTTGCTCGTTCTGAAAGTGAAAAGTTCTGTCCCCACAAAAATTGTATCAACGTGTTACAATGTTATTACAAATGCAAACGTCATCGTCACTGATTTAATAAAAATAAAAAGTCAAATCATTAAGGTCTCGTTCACTTCGCAGATTTGAGTTTTCAATTCGAGTTAAGATGTGACATTTTCATAGAGCTTTTCACTGTAGTATAAAAAGTTAGATGTGACATTTTTTAAGAGTTTTTTACTGTAGAAACCTAAAATTAAAAACTCGAATCGGTGAAATGAACGAGACCTAAAGAATTTTTCTATAGAATCACAAAAAATAAACTATTAAAGTCTCATTTATTTTACTGATACGAGTTTAAAATTCAAATTTGACTACAGTAAAAAACTCTCAGAAACAGTCATATTTAACTTTTTTACTATAGTAAAAAGCTCTCACATAAAGTCACATCTCAACTCAAATTAAAAATTTAAATCAGCAAACTAAACGGACCTTAATAGTTTTATATTATGTGTATTAGACACTGTTTATTATACATATTTTTTTAATTTAATGTTATTTTAACTTAAACTAACAGTTAGATATTGACAATATAATAAGGCCTTGTTCATTTCACCGATTCGAGTTTTTATTTTTAGGTTTTTACAGTAAAAAGCTCTTAAAAAATATCACATCTAACTTTTTCTGTTACAGTGTAAAACTTTTAAAAAATGTCACATGTCAGCTCGAATTAAAAACTCAAATTCGCGAAGTTAACGATCCATAAGAAAGTCTATCAAAAATGTCCTAATTATTAATTCTTTTCGAAAAGGAATAGAAAGTCAAATAGTCGATGTAATGAATTTTGAGAAATGTTTATTTATTGTCACCCGGAGTGATCATTACTACTCTTTTATGAGGTAGAAATTGACATGTAAATGGTATGAGATAATGGGTAATAATTAGTATGTTTAATTGTTGATATGTAAATTTGTGATTGATGGATCATTTGCATTGATATATATGTTGTTCTCGAGTTTTTATTGAGAAATAATATAGCTAATAGCGGTGGTAGGTTCAATCGACATCTCAACTGTATTTATCAGTGATATTCAATTGATCTTAGTGAAATTTATTAGAAAATTATTAATTTAAGGGCCCGTTCGGTTCGCTAATTTAAATATTTAATTTGAGTTGAGATGTGATGTTGTGTGAGAATTTTTTACTGTAACAAAAAAAAATTTAAATGTGACTGTTTCTGATCGCTTTTTACTGTAACAAAACTCAAATTCTAAACTCGAATCAGTGAAAAGAACGGAACCTAAGAGAAATCAAGTGTAATTTATACGAATATATATTATATTAAAATTAAAATGATTATACTAAAAAGAAAAAAGTTGGGTGGGCCATGGCCCCAAGCCCCCTATCTCTATCATTGAAGAAAAAAATTAGCATTACTTTTTCTGTCATTTTCTTTTCACTTTTTACATTCATTGTGTGTTACGTGAATTTCACTATCTTAATTTTTGTTTAAATAATAATATATCATGTCAGTAGAGTTCATGTGTCAAATAGTGAATATAAAGAATGATGAAGAGAGTAATTAAAAGAATAATGCTAGTATTTCTCATTCATTAATAGTTAAAAAAACATGATATAACTACCGATCTTGTATTTTGTTAGGTAAGATGTGGAAAGACTTTCACAGTGATTATTTTTTATTGATTTTAAATTAACCTCCAAAAATAGAAATTGTCTTACTTTACTCACTACAATTAAAATGGTACAAAATTGACCCTTGAATTTATTAAAAGTTTGATAAGTTATGAAAATTTTTTACATTTAAAACGATTAAAAAATGTGACATTTCATTGATGGAAGTGCCAAAATTTCAACTTCTGGTAGGTTTGAAGCTAATTCTGTACCCTTGTAAACTGTAGGGGGCAAAGTGAGACAATCTGAATTCTCAGAGGTTAAATTTGAAATTACCTTCTTTTTAACCGAAGGTGTATGAGTTCTAGATTAAAAGAAGTTGTATATTTATGGTATGAGCATTCATATAGCAAACTAGCTAAGAAAAAGATTGGGGGAAAAAAAAAAAAACCGTGCTAAGAAAAATAAAATATGGGAAATCGATGGGGACGGTGGGAGAACGTGCAATACAGCAATTAAACAAAAAGGACACAGCTTTGTTGGATGGAGGTCAATTATACTTGTTTTTCTTTTAGGAATTTATATTGTAGGATGGTTTTAATTTATAACTATTAGATTTTATTAAAATCACATTAAATTAAAAAAATATATAAAAAAATAATTTTTATTATAAATTTGATGATTAAAAGTAAAAAAGCTATCGATGATTTATTTTTTTTCCTAATACTATCAGAGAAAGTTCATTTCTAAATGTATAAATTTTTCCTTTAATCCTTGGTAACAGAACTAGTGTTGTCAAATAGGCAGGGCTGTCCATGGACGACACGGCCCAGCCCGTAACAGTGTCAGATTCGGCACAACTTGATACGGTACTATTACAGGATGTGCCGGCCCGGCACGTTAGATGGGCTAAGGCTAGGCTGCGGCTTCTCAACCCGCAGCCGAGGCCTGACCCTAGCCCTTGAAGCCCTGCAACCCGGCCCAAGCCCAGTTCAGCCCAAGTATGGATTCAGCCCTTATTTGGCCTGCGAAACGGCCCGCCAGGCTTGTGACTGTTGAGCCCTTTGCATGCCCAAAGGTCACAAGCCGAAAATGTGCCCAAAAATCCCCTATAAATACCCCTTAATCTCACACAACAATTCACTCTTAACTTCTCACCTCACTCTCATTCTATCTCTCATCTTGTCTCTTTGATATTGATTCTAAGCTTTTCTCTCTAGATTATTCATTTTCTTGCTCTTTCATTTACAAAGTTCAATCAATTTTTAGAAATTCCGGAAAAAAAGGTATTCTACTTATCAATTTTGTTACATAACATCATATTACTCAAGTTTATTTATATCATTTATTGTTTATAAATGAACGAATTAACATTAGTTTCTGTTTTTTTTTTTTTTTTCAGAAAATGGCCGCATCAAATTTTTCTGATTTCACTGCTCTCCCAAAGCTTGGTGATGAGCCATTTTACGAGGATGAAGTGTTGGCTCACAACTCCACCCCCACTAAACCAAAAACTGCTCCGGTAGATAATACTTCAGTGCACAACGAGGAAGTTGAAGAACGTGGCAGGGAAAAAAGACCGCGAACTGCTCCTGTATGATAGCATTTCACAGAGGAGCCCTAACCAAATTCAAAAAAAGGTGAAATGGAAATTATTGCAGTATGTAAATATTGTAAAAAGTACTTTTCTAATAAAAAGGGTGGGGGTACTGGTCATTTAGATAGACATTGAAAAGCATGTCTATCATTGCACCAAGGTGGGAGTGTGGACTCCTGCCAACAAACATTATCACTCACATCACAAAGGTTGTAAAATTTTACATACAATGCACAACGTGCTCGTGAGGCACTAGCTAAATTTTTAGCTAGTGCCGAATTACATCTTTCTTTTACAGATGATGCAGCGTTTGAAGAATTCATACATACAGCCTTATGCCCGCAATTTAAACGGGTAAGTAAAAACACAACTCATTCTGATTGCATAAAAGTATTTTATGCAATGAGACAATCTCTAGTTGATAATTTTAGGTCTTTCAATGCTACTATATCTTGTACTTTTGATCTATGGGAGGGGTGTAATAAAACTAGATATTTATGCGTCACGGCTCATTATGTTGATGATGAATAGGTTTTACAAAAGAGAATAATAGATTTTCGTTTATGTCCATTTTCTCATAACGCAAATGCTATTTTTGGAACAATAATGAAAATTTTTGGATTTTATGGGATAGAAGATAAAGTTTTAACTATGACTTTTGATAATGCGTCAACTAACACGGCTGCAATTAACATGTTTAAACATAGTTTGAAACCAGCGTTTGGTGACGAAATTTTTCATCAACGGTGTGCGTGTCACATAACAAATTTAGTATTACAAGCAAGAATTGAACATATTTCCACTAATATAATAAATATTAGAGAATCTTCATCCTTCATATCTAGTTCTGGAGCTCGACTCTAAGAATTCTGACAATATTGCAAGAATAGCTAGATGCGCTTAAGAAAGTTTTCAACTTATGTGAGACATGTGAAACTCCACCTACTTAATGTTGAAGGCTGCACTTCCGTATCAACAGCTCATCACAACGTATGTGAACAGTAAAAACGATCAAATTTTAATTTTTGATATAGATTGGAAGATTAGTGAGTATTTTTAAAAAATTTTAGAAGTTTTCTACAATGCTACTGAATTAATTTATGGAGTTTATTATCTTACTGCACATTTAGCTTTGCATCAACTAATTAATATTTCGGAAATATTTTCTTATTATAGGGATACTAAACTTTTTAGAACTATAGTTAAACTAAAGGAAGCTAAATTTAAAAGTTATTGGTCTAGTTGTCCTATGTTATATGCATTAGCAACCATTTTAGATCCTAGATGCAGAGTAGATGGGACCGAATCTTTAATGACTGCTACGACAGAAAATTCAGGTATTGAAATGCAACTAACAATTACTGATGCTAGGAAAATGTTAAAAAAAATAATTTGGTTTCTATGAAGCAAAATACGGAACAGGTCAAAAAGAGCAGGGAACATCGACATCAAGAAGCAGTTCGGGGCCTAAAGTCTCATTGTGGAGCTTCTTGAAGAAGAAAGAGAAAACGTCAGGATCGTCATCAACACAAGCGTCTACCGAACTGGTAAAATATTTTGAATCAAATTTTGTAATCGATGACGACAAACTGGACATCTTACAGTGGTGGAGGAGCAAGACCGATC